TCCTCTGTTTCATCCTTGCAATACACAGTTCCACTCTGGTCAAATGCTTTGAATCACTCTACTGGCTGTCCCCTCTTAATTTTTTAATGTAGAGCTGAGCAAAAGCCTTCAACAGTAACCCTGCCACCGACCCAACAGTAGATTGCATTTCAAGTTTTTTGCCACTCTGGTAACATCTCTAAACAGAAGCAAAATGCAAATCAACTTCCTGCCAAAGCACAATGTACACCACCTAGGATCCAGCAGCCAATATAGTCCTCAGTAGAAGCCTCTTGAACCCATCTTAACTGGTAGCATTTCTATCAGTACTCTGATTTTCCAGGCTCTGACCAGAGTCTCCAGTACAGTTTACACCATACAAGGAATGCCTCCTTGGCCAGTCTCTCAATATCTTTACAAATTAATTCCCAAAGTTCTTAAGCCACATGGCCAGGCCATGTCACAGCAATGACTCCACTTTCTGTTCCGAATTCTGTTAGTTATTTTTCCTTGTTGCTAAGACAAAATACCTGAAAACCCAAAGTTAAGGGGGAAAGGTTTATTTAGCTCACAATTTGTAGAAGTTTCAGTCCATAATTGGCTGGCTCCACAGCAGGATGGCTCATGGCAGAGAGGCAACAGTTCATGATGTCAGAAAACAGCAAAATCAACCACCAAACCTTAACAGCATCTTTGCCCATTTTATACCCTATGCAAGCTACTGGGAGTAGGGCAGTGCAAATCTAAACAGATACAACAATCATCCACCCTTTATCCCAGCATTGCACCACTAATCAATCACACACTCTAGATTCAGCCACCTCTGAAAAAACTCCATGACCACATAAGGCTTTTGGGGGACATTTAGACACAAACCCTAAAATTTGTCCAATATAAAAGGCAACAGAATGCCTTTGAATCACCTTTGCAACCTGAGAAACAGTATTACAGCATGAGAAGTGAGTTCAACTATGATACTTTTATCTGGATATCAAGTACCTTAAAATATAAAGTGTAGTTAGAGGACAGTTATTTTTCTAACAAATATGCTTGCTTTAGTAATTGTATTCCTGTAGAATGTTAACAGATAATAGTTATACAGTTAACAGAAAAAACTTGAGATCATATAGTATTTTAGTATGACAATCATGATGACATTCTGTTTGTAACACACTTAAATGCCCATCTTTGTATAGAATAACCTTTTTAGTCAATTATGTCTATCTAGTACATAAAGCAGCTCTTACTTAATTTGTTATTTTTTAACAGGATGTCATTGAAGAAGTTTGTGATGCTGAGTGCCTGAGCATCTTTCAGTGTAGTGACACATATATAACATCACATAATAAGTGTCTTTTTTTCAACTGTCATCTGACTGGTGGTCTTGTGCTGGTTTGATATATACCTCTTATCACTAGTATCTACAGCACAAGACAAAGATAGATATCTAAGACTAGAAAAAGGGTACCACCATAAATAATCCTAGTTTTACGTCTTAAAAGACCTGTATAATTAAAAGACATGACTACATTTAGCATACCATGAGATTAGCAATCATGAATGTCATAGCTATAAAGGAAACTGGCTCTTAATTTAGTTTTGTATGAAGAGCATCTTTAATGGAACCTTATTGTTTTACCCATAGAAAACTTACCCTTTTGACCATGATATGTAAACAGATCACAATAATATGTTTAACTACATTTATTGGGGTGTGCCTCCCATAAGGCTATGGGGATTATTGGGGTTCCATTAGGAAACAAAAACTGGAAGATAATATTTCCAGGCAGCCGCTCTTTTATTCATCAAGGGGAGTCCTGTCCAACCGTTTCACTAAGCCTAAGAGATCCCCATTTAATTATTTTAACAAATTTTTATGACCTATGAGAAACAGATCATGATAATTAACATATTATTTTTGAACAAAGAAAGATTCTCAAGTTTTTGTGCACAAACAACAATATGCATTGCCTTTGTAAAACCAGTATTTGCATCATTTTGATCAGCTGACAACCCAGGTGGAAGCATGTCCTTAACTCTAATGACATTTATCTATAATCTAATTTAGGTTATAGACAGATATTTTAAATATCCAAAAAGGCAAAAGAAATAAAACAATTCACTGAACTCAAATGTAATAGCTATAAGCATGATAACCAGGTACAAATTGAACAGACAGACAGATGGACAAACACACACAAAACAATTTGTTTACAAAACAAGAGGGCATCCATCTGGCCAAGTTGAATTACAATAACTCTTCTACAGTTTTTAAGTTTGTAACTATAAATAGACTAGTCAGAACTTTTGTAGGTCAATTAACAGAGATTTCTTATAATAAGAATCAGAAGGAATAAAAACCTTTTACTCATAACCAATATTTTATTTTGTCTTAAGTGTTTTGGCAACTCCATGCCGTCTTCTTTAATTCAGCCTCTGGGTCAGTCACCTTATACTTTCTGTCATTTATCTAGACCTTCTTTTTCTTTTAACAGGGTTTGTGGGATCCCCCTCTATAAGACTTAATGTAATTTGGGCCAGCATTGAACATTCCTAAGATTCAGTACCTATATCTTTTTTTTTTTTTGCTATTATTACATTTATTCAATGATTTAGGGTAACTGAAGCAGTATTTTTCCACTGTGTTTACCTTGACAGAAAATTTGACAATAGTAATGACAGAATAATATGGGACAAGAATTAGATCCTGTTCCTTGTCCTCCTTTTAAAATAACAGGAAAAATCATGGACAAAAATAGAAGTTGGCAAAAATTTCTAAATTTAATTGAGCACAGGTTGGGACATGCTTTTAAAAACTTCAGCAATGGAACTTAAGCTCCCTGATAAGCAGCTGTGGTGTGGCAGGCTGTGGCCCTTCCAGGGGGAGAACCACCAGCAGCTCCTGAGATCCACGCCATGTTGGAACTTAGGACACTGGGAAACCAAGCAACCAGCTCGCCTCCCTGCTAAGCAATAGTGAACCCACTGGTGCACGGCCTAGAGTCAGACATCCCACTTCCCCTACCCCCCTTCCCCTATCCCGCCCCCCCCCCATTAGCAAATGGGAACCAGAAATCTGAGCATCTCTTGGGAGGTTGACCATAGCAAATAAGGAGGATTTCCTTCCACCATCTCTTTGAAAGCAAATAATTTTATTACTGTTTTGCTTATTGTGATTAATGCAGTACCTATATCTTGACAAGCTTTTAAATAATTTCCAAGATTCTTTGTAGTCCTAAGAGCCCCAAAGCCATGTTTATAGTACTTATTTGCACACTCAAAGGCCAATTGTAACACTACAACCTCAGATACTTGTGAATGAAGAATTTGTCTGTGGACTATCTCCTGTAAACCTAACAAGGAAATGACCATAAGACTCTTGGGAGCCCTGTAAAATATGTAAAAAGGACTGAACTGGAGTGCCCTCTTTGTGAACTGTAGCCCATGCCCATATCATCATCAAATTTATTTGCTCATATGCTTCATTAGAGTAAGTCAATTGTCATATAAGATCTGTATAAAGTTCTGTCCGTAGCAGCTTATCTTCCATAATACCTGGCCTTCCAGTTGCCCTGTTTCTAACTGTGTATTCCATGGCAAGCTCCTCTAGCTGCACATTGACTGAATATTTTTGGCACTCAATCTAAAGTGGCAAAGGAGAGATAAGAAGCAGACAAAGTAGGAAGCGGCCTTTAAAGAAGGCACAGGAGAGCTTTCTGGGGGTACAATAGCCCTTAGCAAGAACAAAGAAGTAGAACTACTTTTATCAGTTTTGACTGGGGGAGGAGTTTGGGAGGTGGGAAAAACTAACAGCTGCTTTGAAGGAGCATCTGCCTGTGTAAAACAGGACACAGAAAGATTTACTGGGGGCTGGGGGTGGAGGCTTGGGTGGTTGTGGAGTCTTAGGATTGGAGAGGGCTGGGTGCACTTGCAAAAAGGGAGTGGGAGGGGGGCTGGGGATTTAGCTCAGCGGCATAAGTGCCTGCCTTGCATGCAGGCAGTCGTGAGTTCAATCCCCAGTAACGATAAAAAGGAAAAAGACAAAAAAAAAAAAAAAAAAAAAAAAGGAAGTGGGATGTTTACCTCTGAATGAGAAGGGGAACATAGAAATTACTCTTGGAGAGATAAGTTGTTTCTCTGGGTCCAGTACCAAGTTGAACAGATGTCATGTTGTAGATAGCTAAGCCCCAGGCTAGCAGAACCTGTCACATGTTAAAATGAAGCTATTGACCTGACAATAGACAGAAATGGGCAACAATTAATATCTTGTGGGACCACACGCAGAGCTCCCAAAATGGACTCCAAGAGTCTCAGTGTAAAGGCTCCCTATACCTTCAGAGAGACCTATAGAGGATGGAATCTCACTTCAGCCTCCCAGGTAGCTGGGACAACAGGAACATGCCACCACATTTGGCATGGCCAAGGGAAGCCGAAGAGGGAAGTCACTTCTCTGCTACGTGGCCCTGCAACTGGCCTGTACAGCTGCCTCATTCTCCTGGCCGAGGTCCCCTGCCGCCACCACCATTGCTATCTCCTCTGTCACCCACCTCCTTTAACAAGTGCACCGCCATCTTGATTGTGCTGTGTCAGCTCCTAAAACTTCTGGAGTTGTGGGCCAAGAAAGAATCTCTTTTCTTTCTTCCTGATCTTCCCCTTTTCTCTGATCAGGGGGAGCAGTAGCAGTTGTAGCAATTGCAGCATACAAGGGTTTCAATACAGATTTTATCAAACTCTATGCTGAAAGAGCATCTGGGCAATCTGTCCTCCCCCACCTGCCCCACCATGAGTCCTTCTCAAATTTTTGCCCATTCTACCCCAGTTCTCCACATCCAAGGTTTCCACCACTGGGAACCATAGGTTATACTTGGAAATATCTTACCGAGTTTTTGAAAAAGAATGGGTACTGGCCCCCTGCCTGTTTCAACAACATACACAGCAACTGCACATACCTTTGTTTCCCTGCTAACAAACTCTGCCCCATTATCCCTGTTAGAGAGTTTTTCCATGGCACCATGACTTACTTCCATTTTTTTGAATAGATGCATTCGCCCCACAGAGTTCACTGATAACTATTTCTTCTCCTTTCTCACTCCAGTGGGTAATTCCCTCCTAGATCTCAGTGTCCCTTTTCCAAGCATCAGTTACTGAGGGTTGATCAGACCCCCAAAGACCTATAAGGGGGATGACAAGGAATAAAGAAAAACAAAAGACAAAAATTAAGGGCGACAAAGGAGGAACTTGTCTCTAGCAGACAAGCACAACAATCTCATGGCTGACCCACTTGTATTTGCAAGCAAAAACCACAGGGGAGAGGTAGCACTTGTTTCATGGAACAGCAGCTATAGAGCAATCACAGAGAATAGGTAGTTAAGGAATAAGTTAAATGAAAAACCCGATTTTCTCTATATCCAGATGACTGTATTTTGACAACTGAGTTAGCCGCATTCCACCTATAGCCAGAGGAATGCAGCCTTCCACAAGCTTTCTGTTCCTGAGGCAAGATACCACTGACCTGACACTGTGAGATCTGAACTGCACAGTCTAATCCCCAACATGAAGGCCTTGATTTCTATCCCCGGTACTGGAAAGAGAAAGAGAGAGAAAGAGTGAGAGAGAGAGAGAGAGAGAGAGAGAGAGAGAGAGAGACAGAGACAGAGACAGAGACAGAGACAAAGACAGACAGAGAGACAGAGAGAGAGAGAAGAAGAAGAGGAGGAGGAGGAGGAGGAAGAGAAGGAGAGGGGGAGAGGAGAGGAGAGGAGAGGAGAGGAGAAGAGAAGAGAAGAGAAGAGAAGAGAAGAGAAGAGAAGAGAAGAGAAGAGAAGAGAAGAGAAGCAAAGCGAAGCGAAGCGAAGCATGTAACCTGGGGCTGCTCAGCAAGGAAATGGTGTGCTGGACTGGCCCCCACATGTTTGTTTCCCATACAGTGATGAATTTTATGTGTGGTTCCCGAGGGCAGAACATAAATAGGGCTCCAGAGAGGGAGAGCAACTTTCTATGAGCCAGCACTACCAATTGTAAAAAGGCCTTTCAGAAGGGCCAAGCAGAAGCTGCCTGTTAAGCTGTCAGGAGGAACCCCAGGTTTCCCACCACTCTCAGAGTCCAACTGTACCCCTGACGTGCCCTGGCGTGACGCAGAGGGAAGCTTCTTTTCAGAAATAACAAGGGATAGCAGGACCCAGCCTTTCACTGGAAGCTGCCCATTCCCAGAGCAATCACTGGCAGGCTATCATTCTAATCACTAACCTGACATGGAGGACTGGCCTCATGTTGCTGGCCACTGCATAGAGAAATGGGGTCATATGCAAAGGGAATCAAGCAATCAAGACAAGAGCAGGTACTTATGAGAGACCTTCTGGGTCTACATGGAATCAGAAGAGAGAGTGCTGAGACCTGGAACTCCCAGAAAGCGTTTGGTTGAAATAATTATAAAATCACTCATAATAGTATTCATAACCATCTTTCCTTTCCTGAACATTTACTGTGCCAGGCACTGTGCTGAATATTTGGTGTGCGTTATGTGATTTAACCTCAGCAGCCTTATGAAACAGGTGTGTTATTTGTATTATTATTATTTTGCAGTTGAGGAGACTTGGGAGGGTGACATAAATTGCCCAAAATCACACTAGTATGTGACCAGGTCTGGACCCCAGCCCAGATTTGCCAGACTCCAGCTCTCGTGCATAACCATGAAGAACTACAACCTCTGCAGTCCCACAGGAGTACGGAAATATCTCTGAGATAACATGTGGTAGGTGCCGGTTGGTGCTGTGATGAATTATCAGAGATCTGGCTCTCACATTTACTATGCATTTCACACTTTGATAGGCTGGAAATCTGTCATGTAGGTCTCAGGGGAGCTAAGATCAGACATGGACGCTGTAGAGAGGATCCATTTCCTCGACTTCTCCAGCTCCTAAAGGTGGCAGCTCCTTCACCTCTGGTCCCTTCTTCTGTCCTCAAAGCCACTATTGCCTCATCCCTCCAACCCTTTGTCACAGTTTCCTCTGATGCAACTGGCACAGAGCTTCTGATTTTAAAGGTTAGATTGGGCTCCTTGGATGATACACGCAATCTCCTTGTCTCAGAGTCCTTAATCGAATCTGCAGAGTCCCTTTTGCCATTATGGTAAGAATCCTCAGGCAGGAGGATTGCTGTGAGTTTGAAGCCACCCTGGGCTACTGAGTTCAAGGCCAGCCGGAACTGCATAGTGAAACCCTGCCTCAAAAAGACAAAAAAAGGAACAATTCTCCAATTCCAGGGATTAGGATACAGACACATTTAGAGGCCATTATTCTGCTGACTTTATAGAATATACATATAAGGAATGATTGAAAACCAGTGTGTTTAAATTTAAACAGTTTTTTAATATAATGAAAGACACATTCCCATTAATCCTCTCTTCCCATACACTTACCCTCGTTACCTTCTGAAGCAGTTCAGGAAGTCCCCTCATGAGAGTCTACATTCACTGTCCTGCCTACCTAAATGTTCTGAACCAACTCAAAATATTTTTCTCTCGTGGTCAGTTTGACTTTGGAGAAAACCACAAGTCACACGGTACCAGATCCGTGAATAAGGCAGATGCTGATACACCATAATGTTTTCAGGAGCTGCCTTTTTGTTGCATGGGCTGCTCAGCAGCAACACACATTGTTTTGTTTGGGTTTTTTTTTAATCATACCTTATAAAGACACTTATGAAAGAGGAATTCCAGAACTGCTTCAGGAAGTGCAAGAACAGCTGGGCATGATGGCACACACCTGTAATCCCAGCACTGGAGAGGCTGAGGCAGGAGTTGCTGTGAGTTTGAGACCAGCTTGGGCTACAAAGTGAGGCCAGCCTGAATTGCATAGCCATAGCAAGACCCTGTCTCAAAAAGACACACACACACACAATAAATAAATAAATAAAAGAGAAAATAGAAAGAAAAAGAAATTGGCAAATAATGGGATAATTGGGGCCTGGGGATTTAGCTCAGCGGCATAAGCGCCTGCCTTGCGAGCAGGCAGTTGTGAGTTCGATCCCTGGTACCGATAAAAACGAAAAAGACCAAAAAAAAAAATAAATAATAATGGGATAATTATGCTTGAAGAGAGAGACAGGTTTTTGAGGGTGATTCATGGCAATGTGGCTTTTACTGTAATAAACTGTTTAATTTAAACATTCATCATATTTTTATCATATATATTTGCATAAAGAAGGATACATAAAAACACTGTTATTGGGGCAGGGCTAGACTGATAAGGTTCACTGACTGTTAAGGTTAGATTGAGTTTTTTTAATGGAAGTGTTTACACACAAAAGTATTAGCACAGTGGATCCCATGTGTTCATCACCCAGCACTGACAATTTGCCCTTCTTATTTCGTTTTCTCTCACTACTCTTTGGAAAGGGGCTGAAAATTAAAAGCAATTTCAATCATCATATCTTTCTATCCCCAGAAACTTCAGTTTGTCTAAGACAGAGTTTTCCTCTAAAACATGACCACAATGTCATCCTCAAAAATCATAAAGTTGGGCCGGGGAATTTAGCTCAGTGGTGAAAGCACCTGCCTGGCAAGTGCAAGGTCACGAGTTTGATCCTCAGTACCAATAAATAACTAAATAAATAAAGTTGTCAATATTCCTGAATATCAACTAATGTTACTCCATAGGTAAATTTCCCCTAATTGCCTGCAAAAGTTTTGTTTGTTTGTAAGTCTGTCTGTTTTGTTTTGCAGTACTGGAGTGCAGGCTAGGCTCCAACTTGCAATCCTCTTGCCTTAGTTCTCTAAGTAGTTGTGACTACAGGTATGAGCCATTATGCTTAGCAAACTTCTGTTCTAGTAATTGGTCTGTCTGGATCAGGATTCAAATAAAGCCTACACATTTGCGTCTGGTTAATATGATTCCTGATCTGTCTTACAGATTAAGTTTCCAAGAGGGACCCATTACCCTCTCTACTCTTCTAGTATCTTTATTTTCTAATTATGCAAATGAGTGAACTATTTAAAAATTAAATTTAGAAGCAAATTCAAATCTAATGTTGAATAGAGAGAGAGTTGGCCTCCCAAAGGGAAGACCTCCAGTAGTTGAAACTCGGGATGGAAAGGGGTGGTGTCGAGGGTCCTCAGGGACCTCACTGAAACCACAGGTGGTAGTGGAGTCCTGGAGTCCAGTGCCTGGCCTTCTGTTTTCCTAGCCTGCTCAGCAGCAGGGCCATGGAGGTGGCGGGGATGCCAGCAACCTCTTGTTACACAGAACAGCAGAGTAAAGGGCCAAGGCAAAGGGCGCTGTAGTCAGCATGGGGTGGAGAGAAACCACAGAAAGCCAAGCCCTAGCCAAATTGAGTGGTGCTATGCTCCCAGACCAGGCATGAGAATAACACATACCTGGACTGGACAATAAAGAACACCAGAGACCAGCCCAGTCCTACTTGTGGCTTTGCCACCAGTCCTCATGGCAGCCACTGAAAGCCTCTTGCAAACCTATTCGCTGAGTAACGGGCAGGGGGGAGCGGGGGAGATACCTAATGATACAGAGGTATTTGCTATGGTTAGGGTTGAGGGGGTGGTGGTTCCAGGTTTCTAACCTAGGGGCACTTTACCACTGAGCGACATCCCCACGCTATGTATGTGTTTAAATTCTGAGACAGGGTCTCACTAAATTGCCCAGGTAGAAGTTGAAACTGTAATCCTGTTGTCTTAGCCTCCTTGAGTGCTAGAATTATAGGCATGTGCTATCTCACCCAACTTGTTTTCTTGTTTTGCTTTTTTGTGGGTTTTTTTGTTTTGTTTTGCTTTATTTTGTCTTTTGTCTTTTGTTTTTTGTTTTTCCTAAAGATTCACCAGTTAATAGTCTGGCCCCAGGGTGGCAATGGTCCTGGGAAGCACTAGAGAACCTTCAAGAGCCGAGGCCAAGAAGAACAGAAGTCCTCAGGTTATGCTCTCAAAAGGGATCAAGGAATTTCTTGCAGGACCCTGGTTAGTTTTCACAAGAGCATTGCTATCAAAGCTGATATGAAACCTGGCCCCACCGGCTTCTCTCTGCTTTCTGCCTCCCGGGGGATTCCCTCCTTCACACACATTCTCCACTCAATACTGGGTGCTCATTGGAGCCTGTGCTGTGTCATCTAAATCATCAACCTCCAATATCATAAACTAAATGTAACTCATCTCCTTGCAGAGTTAACTGCCCTGGGTATTTCATTATAGTGATAACAAGCTGATTAATGCAGTATTCACTCACATTTGCACACAGAGAGGTTTATAATAGCCCAATGGGAAAGCCAAGTGGGAACATCAATTAATACCCCAAACCCAATCTTACCAAGTTCCCAAAATGACCCTTGACCCAAGAAAGGGACCACTTAGGAGAAATGGGAGTTTTCTGCTCAGATGCAGATTTGAAGTCCAGTCTCTAAGTGCCCTTCCAGTTAGGAGCACTTCTACAACTAGGGTTTCATTTGAGTCACTCCCAACAATGACATAAGAATTTCTACTTATCCCATTACATGGATAAAGAAATAGAGTCTCAGAAAAGCAGAGAGACTGTTGTCATGGCACCCAGGAAGATGCACTTGGGCTTAGACCCATTACTTCTAATTTCAAGTTCATGATATTTTCTTGTAGTTCTCTGGAAACTCCTATGCAAGGAACAGCATACACACAGACACACACACAGACACACACACACACAGACACACACACACACACACCAGAGCCCTTCTTCCTCCTAAATGCAGAAGAACCACCCAGAATCAGCAGCATTATATGAGGAGAAGTGCAGATGCAGCCCAAACTGCCAACGCCTATCACTGAGCAAAGAACAGTCTCCGCCCAGGCAATAGCCCTACCTGTCCCCACCCTGTGTGGTGCCCAGATAGCAATGTCACCTCCAATGCTATGAAAAGCAAGGCTCAGAAGAGACAAGTACCAATAGAAGTAACACCAAAGTGCAAAAAATGGTAGCCCCGAAGATCCAGAGTGCCAGCTTGCTGGTGGGGCACCTTCAGAGTGGCATGACCAGCTCCAGGAGTGGGGAGTGTCACCTGCAGTCCCAATCACCCACCTCAACAATTAAAGGGGAAAAAAGGCAAAGTGAGGCAGGGGCAGTGCTACTCAGGAGGCTGAGGCAGAAGCATCGCTTGAGCCCACAGGTGGGGCCCAGCTGGGGAAACATAACATGACTTTGTTTCAAAAAAAAGGGAGAAACTAGTGTTACCAGTAACACATCCTCTCACCCCACATACAAGCACTCTACACCTAGGATCTGGAGCCAGACCACCAATCCTCTTTTGCTGCTCCCAAGTCCATAAACTTCCCTGTGACTTGTTTTCCCTGCCTGTAAAACAGAGATAACAATACATTGACCTCACAGGGCCTTTTTCAGATTTGTGGATTTATACACAATTGCTAGAATCACATCTGGCACATAACTGATGCCTGTCCAAGTGTGAGTTCTAGGGGCTTATTTTTTCGTTAAGCATTTGAAAGTACCTACTGTGAATAGAAGGGGAAGTGGTCATCAAACTGGAAAAATTAAAATAAAAAAGAAACATGAAACCATCAGCCAGGACAAATCTAGACTTTTTAACAGGATTTTTCTGGAAGAAGTGGTTACAGGAGCAAGCTGAGGAGGAACAGAGCAGCCTGAGCAGATGGTGGAGAATGTTGCGGACAGCAGGAGGACCCTGGGATGCATGTGATTTCCCAAAAGAGTGAACAGAAATGTAAACAGAGGTGAAGCCGAGAACAGAGCACAGGGATCACTAGACACGCATCCACTCAGCATTCAGCACGTACCTGCTACACGTGGGGCACTGTGCAAAGCAGATAGACGCGGAGAATAAACAGTGGATCTCACATTCACAGTAGAAGAAGCAGATAAATAACAAATCGCATTCTGAGAAAACTCCATCCTAAGGGAAGGTGGCAAGTGCTGTGGAAATTGTTCAGAAGTGGAACTGGATCAGGAGTATCGGGAGGTTTTTGCAGCAGGAAAAAATGAACACGAAAGAGTAAAAAACAAAGCTCCAGGAGCCTGGAGACAAAGTGATAGTAAGTAAGAGTTGCTTACAACTCTTTCCTTCCCTTTCCTTCCATGGAGGGCAGGTCTTGAGAAATACTGTTTTCTGAGCAGAGGAAAGAAAGGGAATGAAAAACTGGAAATGTCCAGCTAGAGCTAAAGTGTTCCACAAGGACTTCTACAGGATAGGACAGGACAGGTGAGGGACAGAAACTGGCAGAGGCAGGGCTGGGGAGCAGGGAACAAGGATGGCTGCCACAGAATGGAAGCCTGAGGATAAGAGATCCAAAAGAGACTTTCAGAACGGTGTTCTCTTGTTACAGTTTTGAAATCCTTCCAGAGGTGCTTTCCAGATCCTTTGTTCTGAGCAAAGAATTGGTCAAGACAAGCACAAAACAAACAGGCTCTGCAGAGCAAGTTTGGGCCAAGTAAAAATAGGGGGGAAAGTTCACCCTGCAGGGTGAGGGTGGGTCACTGTGAAAAGGCACAGTAGCAAGAGGTTAGTGGTGGCTGTCCTTTTGTGTAGCTCCCACTCCCAAGGCTGACATCAGGTCTAGGCCATCCTATGAAAAACCTGTTTCAGTTCTCATAAGAGGAACTGAAGCCAGCACTCTCTGACTGGGAGCACATGCAGGGCTTTGGGACCTGTTCTGCACGTGTGTCCTGGGATTTTATAATCAACAGGCTTCACCCCTCACCCTCGCTGGTCTTCCCTGTATTAATCTCTTGCCTCATTTTGTTATGTGACCTGTAACCTTTCATCTGCCCACAGAATCTTGGGCAAATCCACGCTATACATAAGATGTTTCCATGATGACTGTGTGTGTGCTTAGGGTGACAAAAACAAATAATGGATTTGCAGACTGTGGAGAGAGAGAGGGCCAGGACTCACCAGGAGGTGACCCCTGCCTGGAAACCAGTGCCATGCACAGGCTGTTGCTGGAGTGGGGACAGCCAAACCCAAGCCTCTCTCCATGAGTCAGCGTCATTCTCCGACTGTGTAGGGAAAGAACAAGGCCTCATTAGGAAGCAGTTCCCACCTGGAAATGATATCATTTTCATTGTTTTGTTGGGTTGGGTTTTGTTGTAGTCAGGGGTTGTACACAGAACAACTAGGATTAGGACATGGAGTTTATAATAGTTTTATAACGGTCACCGGAAGTTAACACAGGAAAATCCAGGAAATCTATCCGCAACACCAAAGACATAGATTATTTAGTCAAGAGCCTAACCCCACGGCAGTGTCCCACATGAGTCCAGATAAAAACCCAGAGCTCAAGACAATGCCTCCCACTGGAGGTCCAGCGCCCACAAGAAGGACTCATACCAGTCTCTTTTACAGATCCGTGCCGGGAAGACCCAAGGGTCAGCGGTGAAAGCCAGAAAGTCTATGCCAGCAGGATGCAGGAGCTGTGCTAGTGGGATGAGGGTTCTACGCTGGAGCTGAGAAGTCACACTCACAACAAAGAGCAGGGCTGTCCTGGAAGGCCCCAAGCTCCTCCGACCACAAGCACAGTCAGGTACGTGCCAGGAAGCAGCATGACGAGTTCATCCTGGAGACCAAGCAGCACATGTCTTCCCCTCCGGAGCCAGGAAGCAATGCTTGATGTGAGGACCAGAGCTTCTCCAGGAGAACCAGCAGCTCAGACAGCAACTCGTAGGAGAACCCACAATGCCTCAACCCCTCCACACCTCCCTTCTACACTTATTTATCCTGGCAACTTTCCTCAGGTGCAGCATCTTCACCCAATGCCATGCTAATGTAATCCAGTTGGCGTTAAGTTGATCACCAGTTCTTAAACCATAACAGGTTTTATTCTCTTTTGTTTGATTACACTAAATCTGATGGCATGAGCAGCTATTTGAAAGATAGGAAGACATTATGGTAGCCATTTTGGATTTACTACTAGCTTGTTTTGAAGTTCTTTATTGCATTCATTGTATTGTTTTTATTCGATTTTTTAGTATGTCGAAAGGTATCTGCAGCTTTTTTTTTTTTTTTTTGGTACCAGGGATCAAACTCACAACCTTGCGTTTGCCAGGCAGGAGCTCAGGTCACTGAGCTAAATCCCCGGCTTCTACAGCTATTTTGAAGACAACAAAAGGCATTATGATAACTATTATTGATTTTGTAAGGTTTTGAAGTCCTGTATCACTTATACTGGTTTATTTTGATTGGTTTTGTTTTATTTTCTTTGGTTTTATCCTCTTTAAAATAAATTTTTAAAAATTAAAATAAAGAAACAATGGTTTACTATATGTGCATAGTAAAGCACATCTATAATCTCAGCACTCAAGACGTTGAGGCAGAAGGATTGTGAGTTCAAGGCCAGGCTAGGCAACTTAGCCAGACCTTGTCTCAAAGGAAAAAAACAGAAAAGAAAAAGGAAAGAACTTATGAGTGTGAGCAGAGCAGACCACAGTGTTCTAACTTTGAGTCACTTAGGACTTGGGTGAGTATGCAATAGTCAGTTCCTCAGAGGTGGAATTTGCCTCCACAAAAGCATACAAAGCAAGGCCACTTGGCCAGACAAGAGAGGGTGGGGGCACAGCCAGCTCTCTGCCTTGGCCTGTCACAGCTCTGGCTCCAACAGGAGTACATATGCATTTTCCTATAAAACCATGTCTCAAAAGAACAAAATAAAGATATCCAAACCTAAAAAAATAAATAAATAGAGCATGAGTGACGCTGCAGGACAATCCACCCAACAAATTGCAGACTGGACAGGTAGATGGCAGATAGAAAGGAGAGTGGGAGAGTTGCCATTGTATTGGCTCGGCAGGTGTGAGGCTAGGGAAGGAGGAAGAGTCCCGGGTGTGGGAGGCTTGGGAGGCTGAGAGGGCTACGGAGGAGGCCCTCAGAGATGACAGAGATGACGATCGCCGATCCTAATGTTTATTATTTTTATAACTGTGTGGATTTTTTATTGCTCCTATAACAAATCACTACAAGTTTAGTGGCTTAAAATAACGCCAGATGTTTATTTCATAGTTCCAGAGGTCAGAAGTCTAAAACAAGTTAGCAGAGCTGCAGCTGTGCCTCACAGCAGCCCAGGGGAACAATTCATTCTTCCCCTTTTCCACCTTGCAGGAGTGGTCCGCCTCCCTCGGCCTCTGCTTAGGTCTCATTCTCACTTCTTTCCTGAAAGAACCTTTGTGATTACCCTGTCATCACCAGACAGGGTCTAAAAAGGCCCCCAAAGCACAGATGGGGAACCTTGACTCACCCCATCTAGCAGGCAGGTTGCAGGTTTGCTGACTTCCGTTGCAGAAAGAGAATCTTCAGGATGCATCAGTAGGCAGCGTAAAGAGAAATACTAGCCAGAATTTTAACAAGAAAAAAAAAAAGCAGTGCAAGCCCTCAAGAAACAGGCTACTACAGTCAAGACTTCCAGCTATTTAGGGAGTAGAAATCTGTGGAATCTGTGAATCTATAGAAAGTTCGGGCTTTGTTTGTAGGAGAAATGCCAAGACCCACCCACAGGTAGGAAGACAATGGGCTACTTCACAGGACAAAGGCATGACACAGTCTATAGTACTTTTCAAGGTCAGATTTCTGTTCTTTACCTCAGCAAGTAAATTAAGGCAAAGTTTAAGAGACTTGGGGTGGGATGGGCCTGGAAAAGAAGTACACTATAAAAAGCCTAGAGAGTAACGATATGAAATACCTTGGGTAACTGATTTGTCCTGAAGTTGGAGTTTTCTTAAAAGTACCATTTAAAAATTGATTCCCCTTTTCTCCTTTCTATGTTTATTTTTCTATCCTACCCCATCCCATCTCAGGATCCTTTAATTTAATCCCATCTACACCATCCTCTGTGTCATGTAAAGTGGCACACACATTTTGGGGATGGGGGGCGGGGGGCAGTAATTGAACAGATATCAAGACTTGAATTTACAGAGAGGGAGCTCACAAGGGAAACATGGGAGGAGCCATAAGCCCAAGGCAAGAGCTGAGAAGGAAGCAGAAGGTGATATATATCCTGCAGTTATTCCACAAATGTTTACTGAGGGCCTGTTATGGGCCAGCCAGAGACATGAGATTCAGAGCAGAGAAATTAAACAAAGCAAGTGTACTTTGGAGTATACCACTGAACTGTGCCCACAAACAGGAAGCTGATGGAAGACAATGAGTCACACACAAGACACTCAGATGAGGTGACCCAGGGAAAAAAGACACTGAGGTACTAACAGAGATCTCATGAGGCAGTGCCACTGGGATTTAGTATGAGGAGCAGCAAAAAAGATCTAGAAGATTAACGAAGATGGCCAAGGCCATGGTGGCTGAGAAGACCTTGGGGTGATCCTGCCTGCTGCCCACAGTGGACAAATAAACCATCCCAGGAAGGGTGTGGACTGATCTCCAGTTGGCCTAGGAACCCAGTGTTCCAACGTTATCAGCAGGGGGCGCAAAAGAACCAAAGTGAACCTGGGGATTTTCCGCAGAAACTGGACCCCACCCGAGCATGGATGGAAGGGGGGCTGTTTCCTCCATACAGCTCCACAAAGCCTGGAAGGCCTGGCTGCCTCCATGTGATCTCTGACTCAGGGCTTACCAAGATTTTCCTCCTCCAGTTAAACCAAATCATATTTCTTTCCATTTCCCCCTTCCTGATTGCCTGTAGCAAACACATTTTGGCCCAGAGGCTTATTGCGCCATCCTGCTATTACCAGAATGGAGGAGACTTTTGTGCATTTTTATCTACATGCTCAATTTGAGGGAAGGTGGCTGAGGTCAGCGAGGAACTGTACAATCTAAAGCAGATGTGGAATCAAATCTGGAACTTGGATCTCCACCCTGAATCCCAAGATAAAGACCCTGGAATATATTCGAAATCATTCAGACCTCATTGTCCCTTGGGGGCAAATAATGCTTGTCATAGTAACAATGGCAACGCGCCTTGAGTTCTTCTGTGGATTACTTTCTTCAGGACTCAGTTGAGTACTACAGAGCAGTAGTTTCCAGCATGATCTGGAATATTTACTGAGCTCCTCCTGCCAGTGCTGAGTGCAGGTTTGGGGGTTACAGAAAGCCCTTCTCCTTACACCTGTTCTCCCAAGACAGAGGACTCTGGAGAAAGCAGCACAATGAGACCAGTTTTGAACAATGAGATAGAACCATCTTCATGGATGCCGATCAAGGCACTGCTTTGATTTCTCCGCTTGGTCCCACGTGGCACTGGGCTCAAGGCAAGCCCTGCTTCTCCGTCCTGCTCCTCCATTCTCTTCCCAGATCAGGCCCTACCTATAGTTTCCTGACATAGCCACCAGCCCGTGGCTTCAGGTTTCTACACCTTCTGAAAACAGTTGTTTGTGCCTGAGATTTTCTCCTCCACCTGTCCACTGACCTCATCTCCCAAAGGCAGCCAGGACAGTGTCCCCCACCCTGAGAAACCTTGGGCTGATCTGCAGACAGGCTCTGCACTCCTTGTTTTTCACAGACTACGTCTCTACTTGAGTGAAGATTCCAAGGCTGTACCTAGCTGTCTGTTCCTGGGTTCCTCAGTTCTCTTTGTGACCTTCCAAGGATAGAGCTGGTTGGTCTCCTCTCATCTCCTACCCTCCAGATGCTGCACCCTACGTGACACAGAGCAATCTCTCACCAACTGTCCGAGGAATGAATGAATGCAGACCTCCAATTTGGCTGCTGCTGACTTCTCCTCCTTCCTGTTACCACCACCAGGTACCCTTTGTACCCCAATGTGTCCCCCTCCTCTGAACTTTCCCACTGCCTCCTAACGGTCTCCACCCGCGCTTAGCTCACCTGCTCCCAATACATTACCCAAACTCACCTCCCCAACTTCAGGATCTCAGTCTTCCCTCCAACTCCCCAAAGCTCTGAGAGGACTGGAAATAACGATCCCTGTCCTGCAGGAGCTAATTGTCGGCTCCTCCTGCCACTCCATCCCCCCATCCTCAACCCACCCCACTCCCCCACCTCACAACTCCTAAGTAAAATCCAAGTAGCGACCCATCTAAAACCCGTTCCACAGCTCCCCAGCGCTAACCCTTCGGCGGCCCCTCCCACTTCCGGAATGAGGTCCGCAACGTGCAGGTCCTCAGAGCTTGCCCTCACCTCCCCACACTGCCTAAGAGCCCGAGCTGCAGCCTGTGCCCAGGATGTCCTCTGATGGCAACGTCCCCGTGGGGTAGCTGGGTGGAGTGGTTGGATCAACCGAGGTCTCCTATGGGGTCCTCAGTGCCCAGCGAGTCTCCAGGGCCCACACACCACCTCATCCGACGGTTTGAAGTCTGCCTCTCTTCCCAGCAGACCTTTGAGCTCCTGCGGGAGCCAATCCAGGACCTAATCCATTACTTTCCGCTCTTGTTCCTAACGAAATAAACCAGCTATGCAAAAAAAAAAAAAAAAAAAAAAAAAGTTTTTTAGCGAATCGATGGATGAGACAAGTCTAATAATAAGTAGCTTAATGAGAGCTACAAGGCGCTGTTTCTTGATGTTTCCTCTAGGTTTTGTAACGAGTATGTTTGGCCTTCCTAATAATAAAGAACACTTTTAAAGGAAACTTCATTTGGGGGAAAAAATGCACAGGGGTTACAAGTTCGCTCCCCACCCAGGCCTGGGAATCAGGAAGGCGTTATCTGAAGAGCCAGACTCTGCCCACAGTGGGGGTGGGCCGGCCCTCTAATGTCCGCACCACCTGCGGTGCTGCCCAGGTGAGCGAGGCGGGGGTGGGGCCTGGACGGCTGAAAGCCCCACGACAAAGTTTTCTGCGCTCGGCTTTCAGTGCTCGATGAGAAACTGCGAGTTATGTCCTCATCGAATGTAGGGAGCTACAGAAAGTTTCGGAACAGTTAAGAACCGCTCCGCGTCGGCAGGCACCTGGAGCGCGGCAGAGCGCACAATCCAGGTTACAAACCGTCTCTTCCCTCCCGTGCCTTGCGACCGCTTCAGGGCGGCCCAGACCTTGACCACAGAACTATCAAGTGATTGGTATCTAATAAGGACTCCTGGAGCTCCGGTGGCTTCACCTTCCCCGCCGGCTCCTAATTCCTTCTTTCCGCACCCTGAACCAACGCGCCCAGCCAGCGAGGATCTGCAGGGAGGCGCCGGCGACGGAAGCCAGGCTGGGCAGCTTCCCTGCAGGTGGAGGTCAAGGCAGCAACCCACGCGCTGCCGGCTAATCCGGAGAAAGGTCTTGGGGTTTCCAGAACCTGAGCAGGAGTTCCCCAAGCCCAGGGCCGGGGCGGGGTGCGCAGAATCCACTGGGGGAACCGGAAAGGAGGGGCCTCTCGAGGACCCCCTCGAAGACAGCAGCGATCTGGAAAGACCCTAGGACGGCTGGGAGGAAAACAGGAGGCGCCAAGAAGACTGCGGAGAAGGGGGGTCGGGATCTCGCCGCGGGAGGGGAACCCAGGCCTGAGAGACTCCCGACTCCCGCTGCCGGAGCCGGGCACGTGGGCGGGGCAGGTGGGCGGGAGGCGGGGTCGCGGGGCGGATTCCACGCACATGCGCAGCGCGCCGGCCCGCGCCGTAAGGAGTGGCACTTTTTAAAAGTGCAGCCCCAGGCCAGCGGGTAGCCGCCAGCCCCTCAGTACCGGACGCCAGGTCCTCTTTGCCTCCACTGCGCACTTCTCAGGTCCCACCAGTCCGGCTACAGGCCCGTCCAGCCTGCACCATGCCCGTCAAAGGAGGTTCCAAGTGCATCAAATACCTGCTTTTCGGGTTTAACTTCATCTTCTGGGTGAGTGTGCGCCAGCGGCCCGCGCTCCCCTCCGGGACTTCCCGTACCGGCCCCGCGTCCGCGCCCGCACCCGAGACCGCGTCGCGGCTGCCAGCGGGCTGGAGACGCTCGGGATTGGCTCGCTCGTGGGGGGCTCTGCCGAAGCCGAGGGAGCCAGGGTCGCGCACACCGAGTCGGCTCCCTCCTTCCTTCAACAAAGCCGCACTGGACCTCTCGAGTGTAAAAAGGGAAGGCGACGGGGAGAAGCGGGGCACCCCTGGCCTAGGAAGCCAAGGCCCTGACCAGGGAGGACTGGAGCGCGTAGAGCGCTTAGTGAGCCGAGCGGACTCCCACGGGTGGGGCTCGGGGCTCGGTCCCCTCTCCACCTGGACGAACTCGCAGCCCTCTTCCAGGGGCTCAGGACTTGGGTTCTGAGCCACCCAGAGAGTGACGCGCTCTCTACTCGAAAAACTAGCTTATCCTGATTTTCTTTTTTCCAAGGGCGATAACTATCTTGGCTTTAGGGAACTCCGGAGAGTTAGCAGAGTAGTGGGTAGATGTCTACCGACACCTGGTGGGATAAGTCTTGAGTTTCCGGAAAGACCAGGTGCCTGCGCAATGGAGGCTCAGCCTCGCCCCCTCCCTGAGAGCCCACCTAGCAGCCAGGTGGGGCTGCACAGATTAGCCTTCCCCTAAAAGGCCCCCCGGGGACACACTGGGCCTCCTTGAGGCTGGGAAACCTGGGAGAAGCAACAGCCGGGCAGTGTCTACTCCAAACCTTCTTCCTTCATCTGGGACTTGGGGGCCACCCAGCGACAGGAGCCTTCTGTAAGCAGGAAAGGGTTTGGCAATGCCACCCCTGTTGCAACCTTAAGAGAGGTAGCCTACGTGGAGGCTTGTAACCAGAACGCTTATTCGGCCTGAGCTGATCATTGGAGTCCCTACAATCCTCCAGGCAAATCTAAGGTTTAATTCTCTCCCCAGGACTGAAGGGGAGAGGTATGGGACAGTTTTGCAGCCTATACAGACTGAGCCACCCTTCCAGGAGCACCACACCCAACACACTCTTGATGGTGCTGGCACAGGGCTGTGCGGGGTGCCCTGCCCAGTCTTTGATCTGCTGTAGGAAGACCCTGCCCAGGGTGGGCCCCCCACCCTGGTGTTCCTTGCAGCCAGCCCACTGCCAGTCTTGGCTTCCCACACTCAGCAATTCCTGGGCACCACAAAAGAATGTCTGAAGGCGGCTCCTGCCTTCCCTGGCTCCACCCCACTACACCCTTCTTCCCTTCCCTGGCAGTCTTCTCTACCAAGTGTGTAGCTTAGTCCCTGCTGTCTGCCTGGAGTATACCAAGAGGAAGAGCTGGGAGGACCCATGGACTGCCATAGTGTGCCTGTGTACCCCCATCTGCCCCCACATCCTGTGAAGCAGGTTAAGGGGAGACCTCCACAGCCACCCCATGTCTATATTTAGTCGGTTGCCTGCTGGTTTGCAATCCCTCAGTGCTGTCCCCCACCCGCCACACCACTCATCAGTGTGCCCCTGCCTGGGCACAGTGCTGCTGGGTAGCTAGCTGGTGATTGCTGTCTGAAACAGAAATGGCTGCTTCCAGAAGCGTTTGGATTTAGAGGAGGAAGTGACTTTGGAAGTTGTACCCTCTTGTTTTTTGTGAGGAATCAGAAAGAGAGAGGGGTGGCTTACTTACTCAAGATCATGAGGCTAAACCAATTCTGCAATTCCTGGCTTGCTTACTGTCCTATCCTGTTCTTTCCTGTCTCCATCACAGGAAGGGAAGTGAGCAGTTTGAGGCAGAGCCCTCATCCTCTAGGAGATGATAGAGCAGTATTATGATCTCCTTGTACAGTGTTTTTTGCAGTGCACAGAGAGAGCCTCCCCTGCTTCCCCAGTTCTCCTGATAAGGACCAGAACAAGAAATATTATGTCTGTTACACATACTGCTAACAAGGGTGGTCCATCAGAGGTTAAATGACTTATCAGGATCATATAGCAGACTAGTATTACTGGGTAAATTACTTTACCCAGTAGGGTTGCCAGCTGAGTGGGAATAGAAAGCTGGCATGAACTTGCAAAAAAAAAAAAAAAAAAAAAAAAAGACAAGATTTTACTGTGTATTCCAGGTTGGCCTTGTACTCACTAGGTAGCCCAGACTGGGCTAGAATTTTCAGCCATCTTCCTGCCTCAGCCTCCCTAGTGCTGGGAGTACAGACTTACATCGCCATCCATATCTGGCCCTTATAATTATCTTTTAGGACAACTATGATCTAAGGGAACTGTTGGGATTATTCTGATGTCATCATATGTTTCTCCCTTGAGACCAGCAGTTTATAAACTTGGCACTTGGAGCCTGATGTGACCCTTGAAAATCGGAGGTTGAGAGGCAGGGACCCACACCTGTGGAGGGGTGTGAGAGACTGAAGAGAAGACAAGCCAGCCCCGGGGCAGGGGTGTGGCGGGGACTAGGCCCCTTCCCTGGTGCTGCTCTGGTTCATCTCTGTGCTGGCCGGGCCTGTGCACCCTGCCCTTCCCACACGGGGCGTCCAGTGCCCACAGCCAAACCAGCAATCAGTGTGTTTTTCCAACATCCCCAGAGCAGAACGACTCAGCTCTATTCTGGTTTGTTTCTGTGTTTGCTTCAGCTCTCTCTGCCTCTCCCCTGACCTCAAATAAAAAGGTTGAGAGGGAAAACATCTTACTGATGGCAAAGTGACAGATGTGAGTATTGTGTGCTGTGAAGTGGGAAGCCAGGCATAGGCTGGGCTGGGACACTGCCTGGCCAGTTGTGTTCCCCCAAATCCTAAACCTGCTGGCTGTTTTGAGGGAGCAGCTTCCCACTCACACTGCCCTCTGCTCTTCTCTCACCCCTCACACACTGTCACTCACAGTGGGGGTCTCTTTCCCAAGACATGGTGTTGGGTGGGCTGAATGGGCTGCTTGGAAATGGACAGAGACCTGCATCGAGAGTTCGGGCCTGATCGCTCATCCAGCTTTGTCCATCTCGGCTCACTGAGAAACCTTGGGAAGGTCACTTTTCTGCTTCAGACCTCAGTTTCTTCATCTGTAAGCAAATGCACTCTGAAGTTCCCTTTAAGCTCAGTCTGCAACACTAATCTCACCCCAGCACCTATAACAATACCCCAAAATGGAGTCAGGAAGTGGAAAGTGTGTAGCTACCTGGCTTGTTTGCTCCCCCTTGCTGTCTTTGACCTTTACCCTGGAGCAAGAGCCTGGCTTTCAAATCTCTTTGCATTCATCCTGGGTGGGGCTTTCGGGGGGGGGGGTTCCCCTCTGTTTATTACCTTTATGCCTTAACCATTTGTGGTGGTAGAGTTTAATGGCCAAAGCTCTGGATAGAGTCCCCATCTCTGAGAGATCACAGAGAAAAACTTCTAGGACACACAGCGGGCAGTCACATAGCAGTGGATGTGAGGTTGGCATCCACCAGCAGCTTCTGTTACTAGTGGGAAGTGGCTTGAACTATGGGGGAGAGCATAAGCAACTCACTGAGAAGTGTATACATTTCAATCACAGAGGCAGCTAGAAGCACACTCCCAGGCCATCCAGCCTCCCTTTCCCACCTCTTTCTGCACTTGGGCCAGTTTCCCTCCCCAGAGCAAAACACAGCTCCATTTCACATGGCACTACACGTGTGACTGCAGAGGGGGTGGGAGCACTTTGGAACAGAAGCCCACGTGACAGAGAACCTGAGACGTGAGGATTCAGGGTCTAGACAGGGCATGGACAAAGCTCTTCTGCCCCAACCCAGCCCACTGACTGCCTCCCCTAGAAGCTGTTTGGCTTGGAAGTTGGGCTGAGCAAGTAGCTGGCCTGTTGCATGAAACAGCTTCCCAGGCCTGTGCTCGCCTGGGTGCCGAGCCCCGTGAGGAAACTGTTGTTTGTGCTAGAGCTGGCAGGTATGGGCAGAGGTGAGCTGAGGCCAGTGAGACTGGGAAAAATAGGACTTCTCTGCCTACATTATTGGTTTCTCCCCACCTCTGTGATGGTTGTCAGCAACAGAGATCTGGGCTCCTGATTGTTGGTGGTAGTGACAACGTGGATTCCTGTACACACAGGTGCATGCACACACACACACGCACATACTTGGACTCTAATGCTGTTTTCAAAGTGGCCCACAGCACCTTCTAGACCTTGCTTTCTGAGGCTCAGAGGGAATGGCTGCTGGTTCAGACCAAGTTTGGAGGGGCCAGGACACTTGCTCCCCTAAACACTGTGGCTTCTGGACATTCTCATTTGGTCCTTCTTTCTGCTGGGGCTTTTGTGTGTGACCCTTCCCTCCTGTACACACAGCTGTGTCCTGAGTTCTGTTTGCTTTCCTGGTTCAGTTTAGTTTTCTAAAGAGGTGCGGCTTCTGGGATCAGTTGCAAGTTTGAAACTTAATAATATCTTAGATTTTCTTCTAGAGAGCATAAACTTGATGGGTTTTGCCTGGGCACGTCAGGCAGTGAGCAGAGACCTGAGGTCACAGGTCTGTGTGGCTCTGCCACCCTAATGCCACCTGTGGTGCACACTGTATATGGATCTGAGTGGAGTTGGTTCTGAAAAGAACAGGCTGCGTGTTCTGGTGCTGTGGTCCTCCTTGCCCCAGTTTGGGTCATTGAGACTTTCTCTAGACCTACCCCAGGTTTTGTTCTGTTTTTTTTAACAGACCTTCCAGACCTCACCTAACATCCAGAACAGCAATTTCATTGTTAACACAACTTAGGCCCTGGACTACAAGGAGAGATCGTTTGCAACTGAGAAAATTCCAGCAACAAAAAAGGCTAATTGTAATACATTTTTGTAAATTTATATTTTAGATTGCAGATCCCTTGCCTGCTTCATCCCATGGAAAAACTCAGGCTGGTCCAGGGACATTTCCATCTTCCATCAAGTGATGGCATGCAGCTGTGGAAAGCAACATCCTGTCCCCAGATGAGATAATTCTATCATAGTTACCTCCATCCAGTGATTTCCTCCCCCACTACACAACAAAAACCATTTAGTT